TGACCTTGACCTTGATCCGATGACCTTGAAACTCGAACTTGTTGAAGATATTTTAATTCTTTACATGTGTGTAAAGTTTGATTAAAATCCATGAAAGAATGAAGGCTCTAGAGTGCTGACAAACCTCTTCGGACAGACGGACAGACGGACGGACGGACAGACGGAGGGGAAAACTATAGTCCCCCCGGTTTCCCGGTAGGGGACTAATAATGTAAACGACTGTAATACTGGACGGCTTTAACAGCTGAAACACAAAATGTATATGTTAATAAAGATATAATATTTCATTTGTGCAAGTTGACATCATACACTGCTGAAAAATGAAATCTACATCAACATAAATGGCTGAAAGACAAAAAACATATCACAAACGGATAGAATACAAAAATAACATTGTTAGTGGCAGAAACATTAGTGCAATTCACCATTACAAATGACTGAAATACATTTATGTATCTTAAACTGCTAAAACACCATATATAACTATATTAAAAATTGCTATTTCACCAAACATTTAAATTGATAATAACACGAACTCGAACACAAACAAGCAAGGAGTCCACAGACTGTATATTTCCACCATTACAGCACAGTAAAACCTCTGAGCAATCAATATCTTGGATTTCAAAATTTAGGTGACAAGGTGGTTTTACACTTGTAATCCAATATCTAGCATTAACCTCCAAGTAATGAACAAAATCAGACCAATTACACAAAGAAAAGAAATGAAGCCAAAAATATTTCAGCCAATCAGAAGCCATGGTAGCCATCTTGGATTATTAGATCCCAAAATAGTTAAGTCCTAGTATATATATAGTTCCACCTGTATGAACACAATTTCACCAGTAGATCAAAAGTTACTGCGATATATTATTGTCTCAGACTAACTATAGGTGATGGTCAGTGACCTTGACCTGCAGCCATAAATGATTATCAAAAGCAGTTTTGACAGGATTTCCCCCATTTTATTTTTAGCAACACAGACACCATGGTTATACTATAGGGCTTCCCCACCTGTGATGCAGGGTCCTGATTAGACAGAACAAATGGTTAAAAGTAAAAAGGTATGATGGCTGAAATACCAAGTAAACCTTTTAAATGGTTAAACCACAAAACACTGTAAACTCTTATACCACAAAAACAAAACAGTAATGGCTGAAACCCAAAAACAAAATATATTAAATAAGTAGCAGGACTTTAAAATGAATTTCCCATTTACCCATTTTTGGCCGTTAACCTGGAAGGGGATGAGGTAATTATATAAGTCCTTCATTTATACAACAATGAGACCTCTTTGCCCTATGCTGTATTTAGTTAAAAACCCTTAATCCATTCGAGTAGGATTTTATGGAAGTTGACAATAGACAGACAGATGATGGATGCTGCGCCATGACATAAGTCGCTTGACCCTTTTAGACCAAATGAGATTATAAGAAAAGTATGAATGGATGAAAATCTGACAGTCGTTGGTTAAAATGACAGTTAACAAATAATAACAAAATAGAATTGCTTTTTCAGCATTCAGTCTGGCCTACTGGCTGAGTACAATAAACAGACCTCAGACTGGATAATGGGCTAAAGTTATAATGGCTTTTAGTGACGAAATAAACATTAACAATTAAGTATGCATATTAACATAGACGAGCTCAAATTAACCGTGTCATCCCGACCACAAAGGTTTTTTTTATAAATACAGTCAAGAGTGACTAAGTACGTCTGAGGTAATTCTATACAGTACCGTGGTCACAAAAACCACAAATCTACCTATAAAACAGCTCTGTGGAGACGTTATCGCACAGATCAGCTTTGTGGGTAGTATTCTCAAAGATATTGTACTGGTGGGTGTATATTGTCGAGTGAGTAAAGGTCATACACTTCCGGCTCCAGTAAAGATCAAAATCCAAATCCTGTATGACTTCATAATGGAAATCTATTTTATCTTATCATGACAAATATTTAATATCTTTGATAAACAGTGTTGTTTACTGATGTTTTCTGTGTTTAATCATCCTTAGGTTACAAGTCGGTTATCAAACTAAGCTTTATTTATTTACAACAATTACAAAACAAGTTTATCCAGCTTATAGTAATCACTTCTGTAAGCCCTGATGGAACCAAGCAGCGGGTGGTCTAAAAGTGAGAGGAAACCAGAGCACCAGCTGGTAACCAGTATATCATAGTTTCAGAGTATCTTTGCTATATTTTCAGAATAGCTATTTTATTGTTTCAGAATATTTTTGCTATAGTTTCAGAATAACTTTACTATAGTTTCAGAATATCTTTGTTATAGTTTCAGAATATCTTTGGTTTCTTTTTATTTTAAATTATTTTTTTCATTATCAACACAGCATATCTTAGGGGTTTTATTTCACTTCAAATTTTTTATTATCAACAATCAGAATATTCTTCAAAATATTTTTTACAGAACTTTGAAAATAATAAATAAAATTTTGTCCCCGAAATTGAGGACATTTACAGTCTGTTCCAGTGTACCATGACTTAACAGTTTGTGGGGTAGGGTTGTAGGGTAGTAATATAGATGTCTTTGTATAGGAAACACAAGTGTACCATTGTATTCATGTTCCAGGCCTATAGTTATAAACATTCAGGTCAAAAACACAATGGCTGGCTGTATATTTTCAACATCCTGCTCTGTAGCGGGTGATTGATTATAAGACTTCAAGCGTAATATTTATGTGCTTTGTATAAGTGTATTCAGAAATATATCTTATTGCTTCTGTTCAATTTGTATTTCTATCTGGATTCAAAACTGATCGACAAGACTTATCTAGGATTATTAAATTAAAGGATTGTAATTAGTGGTTAATAAAAATATAATTAGGGACTGTAGAGTTGATATTTTTAGCATATGGTGACCAAATTTCTATCAATCAAAGTTTATAAAATAAAGAATACAGTTTTAGAAAACGAAATTGATGATTTTAATAACTTAAAATTTTAATAAGCTGTATTGCTTACCTGTTTCATTTTTTATATCTGTCAGCCCCCCCCCCCTATAGTGGAGAAACTTGTTTTGTAATTGTTGTAAATAAAGCTTAGTTTGATAACCGACTTGTAACCTACGTATGATTAAACATAGAAAACATCAGTAAACAACACTGTTTATCAAAGATTGGAATTCGGTTAACTTGAAATCTGTCTATATGTGTATATAGTGGTTGTAATCAGTTCTAATTAATAAGACCCTGGAACAAGTCCACATTTCTCCCTATAGGGCCCTCTAGATCTGTGGAACCATTCCCATCGTTTATACATATATCTCACATTTCTCCCTATAGGGCCTTCTGTGGAACCATTCCCATCTTTTATACATATATCTCACATTTCTCCCTATAGGGCCCTCTGTGGAACCATTCCCATCGTTTATACATATATCTCACATTTCTCCCTATAGGGCCCTCTGTGGAACCATTCCCATCGTTTATACATATATCTCACATTTCTCCCTATAGGGCCCTCTGTGGAACCATTCCCATCGTTTATACATATATCTCACATTTCTCCCTATAGGGCCCTCTGTGGAACCATTCCCATCGTTTATACATATATCTCACATTTCTCCCTATAGGGCCCTCTGTGGAACCATTCCCATCGTTTATACATATATCTCACATTTCTCCCTATAGGGCCCTCTGTGGAACCATTCCCATCGTTTATACATATATCTCACATTTCTCCCTATAGGGCCCTCTGTGGAACCATTCCCATCGTTTATACATATATCTCACATTTCTCCCTATAGGGCCCTCTGTGGAACCATTCCCATCGTTTATACATATATCTCACATTTCTCCCTATAGGGCCCTCTGTGGAACCATTCCCATCGTTTATACATATATCTCACATTTCTCCCTATAGGGCCCTCTGTGGAACCATTCCCATCGTTTATACATATATCTCACATTTCTCCCTATAGGGCCCTCTGTGGAACCATTCCCATCGTTTATACATATATCTCACATTTCTCCCTATAGGGCCCTCTGTGGAACCATTCCCATCGTTTATACATATATCTCACATTTCTCCCTATAGGGCCCTCTGTGGAACCATTCCCATCATTTATACATATATCTCACATTTCTCCCTATAGGGCCCTCTGTGGAACCATTCCCATCGTTTATACATATATCTCACATTTATCCCAATGAAAGCAAAGTTGGTTTAAATAGGACCAATCCTCTGAGAGGATTTAACTTTTAAAGGAAAACATTGAAAGGCGAAGAACAGATGCTGACGGATGACGAAAACCGTGCTTTGTAAATGTAGATAATAACATAGATTTCATATAAAAAAAAAATACAATGAGAACACGCTTGTTGATTTTTATAGCATACTCTCTCCATTAATGCATGCACAATTGTACAATTTTCTTTGATAACACCACCAGCTTTCCCAAGAATGAATGACATCCATTGTAGTGTTCTATGACGTGTGTCGGGATGACTGTTAATTATTATACGCAGCCCATTAAAAAACTCTGATTGTTATAAAATACCAATAGGAGACTGAAATACAGTGTAAACATTATTTTCACAAAATAGAAAACAAGTCATTGTCAAATTACATTACATTACCAAACTCAACTGAAAGAACACTTCTGATTGGCTAAAGCGATTCAGAATCTTTTAATACTTACCATTGGTTGATAGATACTCGTCTGTTTCTTTGATTAATATAAGGTCTACAAAATCTCGGGGTGATATGAGTCCCATACACGCGCTGTTGGTACAGGCTCTGTTAATGCGGAGGTCCTGCAATCAATAAAACAGATTTATTTCTCTTTTTGTGAAAGTGGGTTGATTAATTCAAAATGTTTACACTACTGTCCCTCCTTAATACAATCAAAGACAACATTGTTATTCAAGGAAATGTGTCTTCAACAGCTCTTTATTTTTAATTTTTGTACGTAAAATACAAATTGACACGTTGATGAGTGTTGATTTCATCAATCGCTGGAATGAATAAAACATTATCTATACACTGGACTGTATATACCACGAACTTTCGCCCAGTCAAATATTCACCCTTTTCCGATAAAATCCATCTCCGCCCAGTGGTAATTTCACCGTTCACATGTAGTTACTATATATATGGTGTAGCATGTTGTGTACTAAAATTTGCTGTTATGATGTATTTGCCTTCATTGGGGAGGACGAACAAGGCGAAAGTTAAACTGCAGCGACTATTACCCAGTATACAGTAATCAAGCGCCTTAACTGTTATATGGTACAGCACCCCTCCCCCCTGCATAACAATGCATAAGAGTGGTCTTAATTGCCATTACACTGGACCTCCAGCTGACCAATGGTCAATACTGGACCTCCAGCTGAATGATTGGTCAATTACAGGACCTCCCGACTGACCACTGGTCAATACTATACCTATCAGTGAATCATGCTCCTTTCCAAACAAGTTGTCTAGCTAAATCACATCATTACAACAATTATTACACAGGGGTATAAAAGATTCAATATTTGCCCAATTGATCGATTTCTTAATGATATTCATTAAAATATATAAATATATAAATCAATTGAAGAGATGACTACTGCAACATTCCAGATAAAGTGGAGCCGAAGTGATCTCCTCCATTGATTTGTTACATTTACATCTAAGTTTGATAAGACTTTTTATCTCAATACCCAACGTTGACTTTGGATTTGACATTGACCCTCAATTTGTGACCTTTGAGTTTGGTCTTATTTGACCTTGATATAATGCCTGTAATTGATCATCTGCCATTGTGTTTACAATGAACATTTCATGCCCCATTCTCTGTTTTCTTATTTTATATTTTCCTAAAAATATTGTTTAACACCAAACTTTCCGTTGAAAAGTGAAGGCAATATAATAAAGTTCTCGTAACGCTGTTCATATTCCACATCCCTGAGAGTCTGTGACTTTTAACAATGAAAATAACAAAAGAAATAACACGTAAGGAGTTCTCTTACAATACTTAAACAGAAAGAACCAGGCTTGTTGCATGTGCCATGAGCTGTAAGAATATTTCTTTCAGAAGTATTTTTAAGTAAAGGGGCATAACTCCATAAAAGAGGTGGTAATGCTAATACAGTAAAGGCTCTGTGCACAAAGTACCATCTAAATTGGTGGCATACTTTGGCAGGACGATATTAATACGAACAATCTTTATAACTAAAGGAGCAAAACTTCTTAATAAGGGGAGGTAACACCAATGTATATTATATCCACTTGATTAAAATCCACTCAACGTAAGTATCATGTGTACCAAGTATCATCCAAATCAGTGCTGTACTTTGGGAAGGAGTTACTGCAAACAGTGTTTATCAACAAAGGGTATAACTCCATCGATGGGAGAGGTCAATTCAATCAATATACTATTTTCACCTCCCTGCTTTGTAAGGATTCTGTGTACCAAGTTTGATTGAAATCAGTGCAGTACTGTAGAAGGAGGAGGGTGGACAACATTCTGTCTACAAACACAGACAGACACAGACACAGACACAGACACAGACAGACAGACAGACAGACAGACAGACACACAGACAACCCAATTCCAGTATACCCCCCTATTCCCACACCCAGCCCCCCAAAAAATCTACGCTGTAGGTTGTGTAACAATTTAAGTCGATTAGAATTTTTTCAACAAGGGGAAGTAATCCAAAAGACAAGTAGTATTTAGAAAAGAGGGGGCGGGTACACATGCAGTTCTCATTAATTTTGCACTAATTATCTCCTCACATCATCCAGTAAATTGTACCCCACACCCCGCCATCAAAGTTTAACACTAAATTAGAGAAATATTTAAAGCAGCCACCAAACTGTGCCTGGAGTACTTATCTGGTATTTTTGATAGACTCAAGTGCCTGTTATCAATTAGCTGTTGGGGAAGCATGATGTTAAGTTAATAACTTAACTGTAACTTTCCTGGCTGTTAAGGTATTTTCAGTTTTATTTATCAAGAACTTTGTCCTGTTTTAGAAGTTTTAAATACATATACAGTATTTGTTGTAATTTGCACCCCTCCCTGATGAAAGTGTCTTTCCCTCTTTTTTCAGCATCATTTAAATGATATAAGCACACTCTTTCCCAAACTTCTTCAATCTGACCCTCTCCAGTAAACAGAAATTAACTAGAACACTGACAGGTCAGTAAGGGCCCCGTCTTGTGGCAATATATCCCCAAAAATCATCAAGAAGCAATCTGCCCATATAGCTGAGCTTGACGTTTGACATTTGGACTTCAAAAAGAATCGCAAGGAAGCAAAATATACATTGTACATGTATTAAGATGTGAGTCTTGTTTCCTTCCACCTCCATATTTTCTGGGCTAACAGAAATGTAAATACCAGTGCAATACTCATTTGTTAGCTTTCATCTGTTTTATTTCACCTTAAATATCTCCCCCATCAAGAGCCAGGGTCATAGTCAGAGATCCACTTTGACCTTTGGAGCCAAATGACCTTGACCTTGAACCCAGTGACCCTGCTCTTTCGTCAGTTGACTTATTCTTTAATTCCGACCAACTTTGCTTCATAATATCATAACAAAATGTTCACCAGTGAAAAGATACAACATTTGACCTAGACCTTTGAACCAGTGATCTTGACCTTTGGCCCATTGACTCTTTGTTTAATTCCGACCATCTTTGCTTCAAAATGACATAACAAAATGTTCACCAGTGAAAAGATACAACATTTGACCTAGACCTTTGAACCAGTGATCTTGACCTTTGGACAGTTGACTCTTTGTTTAATTCCGACCATCTTTGCTTCAAAATGTCATAACAAAATGTTCACCAGTGAAAAGATACAAAATTTGACCTTGACCTTTGAACCAGTGATCTTGACCTTTGGCCAGTTGACTCTTTGTTTAATTCCGACCATCTTTGATTCATCATGTCATAAAATGCTCATTAGTGAAAAGCTACAAAATTTTACCTTGACCTTTGACACAGTGACCTTAAACACCTAAACAAAAAGGTGTAATCTTATAGCTGAGCTTAACACCTGAAGTAAAATGTGTAATCTACAAAGCTGACGGACCTCAGAGGCAGAAGTTGGCATTATTTATACATGTAAACAGCATACATGTAATTAAAGGAAATATGAGTTTCAATAAAATTTCTTCAGCGGTTAAGTAATTATGGCATGAAACATCAATTTTTCCCCAAAGTCACACTATTTAATTGCAACCACATGGAGAATATATAGATTCCTGGCCTCTTTACTTGTAAAATATCATCTGCTAGCAATTACTTCCAAATAGAAATATGCTAAATCAAAAATACATGGGCAACAGTCGTTTAAAGATTTCATTAAAAAGTTCATTAGGACTTAAAAGCCTATCTCATAATCATGATGTAGTTAGTTTTGGATCTAGTGTAATGTATTAGAAGGAGTTTGATATATGGGAGCTGGAAATACAAAACATTTGGCCCACTATATCCTCAATAGACTGGTATTACCTGGTATATAATGTTGTACTTTTTAAACCATTTTTATAAATTCCTTTCAAATACATATCACCCCTTTAAATGGCTATTTGTAAGTTTCCTTATGCAAATAAATACCTTTCCTATACATTCTCTTTAAAGGAACGTATTCCCATTCTTTCTAAAAGAAAATTCCTATCATCTTTAAAGGAACTTTAATTTAACCATCCTCTTGAAGGGAACTAACTTATTTTCTTTCCTCTTAAAGGAACTTGTTCCAGCTGTCTTTAAAGAGACACATGCCTGTCATCTTCAAAGGGACCTGTTCCGATTCTCTTTAAAGGAACACATTCCCATCCTCTTTAACAGAACTTAAACCTATCTTCTATTCTGAAACTACCTCTTTTTCTTTATTTGAAAAAACTAATTTAATTCCTATCATTTTAAAAGGAAATAATCATCATTATTTTTGGAGAAACTAATTTCCATCATATTTAAAGGAACTTAAAATTTCAATTTTCTTCAAAAGGAACTTCTCCTTATTTCTAGAAATATTAAGTTCATGTTCTAACAGAGTTGACCCCTATGATCACAGAGTTGACCCCTATGATCTTTAAAGTAGATCAAGGTCATTCATCTGTACAAAATTAGCCCTTTATTCCACCAGCATGCAATTATAGGCAGATAGTGGTAGAGGCCAGCTGTACCATCATACATTGACCCCTGTGACCTTGATAGTGGTAGAGGCCAGCTGTACCATCATACATTGACCCCTGTGACCTTGATAGTGGCAGAGGCCAGCTGTACCACCATACATTGACCCCTGTGACCTTGATAGTGGCAGAGGCCAGCTGTACTATCATACATTGACCCCTGTGACCTTGATAATGGTAGAGGCCGGCTGTACCATCATACATTGACCCCTGTGACCTTGATAATGGCAGAGGCCAGCTGTACCACCATACATTGACCCACGTGACGTTGATAGTGGTAGAGGCCGGCTGTACCATCATACATTGACCCCTGTGACCTTGATAGTGGCAGAGGCCAGCTGTACCATCATACATTGACCCCTGTGACATTGATAATGGCAGAGGCCAGCTGTACCATCATACATTGACCCCTGTGAATTTGATAGTGGCAGAGGCCAGCTGTACCACCATACATTGACCCCTGTGACGTTGATAGTGGTAGAGGCCAGCTGTACCATCATACATTGACCCCTGTGACATTGATAGTGGCAGAGGCCAGCTGTACCATCATACATTGTCCCCTGTGACCTTGATAGTGGTAGAGGCCAGCTGTACCATCATACATTGACCCATGTGACCTTGATAGT